ATAATAGTTTAGTTTTATAGTTATTTAGTTTTAACCTATAGTTTAATAGTCTAAAACTGAACTATTAACATCCCTAATGTGCTCATATATTGTATTTATTTTATTAATAACATCCTCAGGGAAAGAAGATGAAGTTCGGGAAACTTGAAAACAATGAGAAATGTTAAGCAGTATAGGTTTGGAATATTTGAATGCATTCGTGGTACTACTTACCCTCTCCTTCGTCTTTGATTTTATTTACTAATTCTGCTATAACTTCTGCTGGTCTACTGAGAAGTTCATAAGGGGAGGCTAGAAGCTTTTCTAGTGTTAGCTTAAGGAAGGCTGGACCGGTTACTTTATTTTTTTTGATAATATCAATATCGTCATCATCAAGGTCCAACTTGTCTTTATTTTCTTGTAAAAATTTAATAACACCAGCTTTTTTTCCATTCCTGAACATCCTCGACTGAGGGAAGGTTAATATTTTTGGACATGATTATATATTTTTTTGTGTTCCTTGAGCAAAAATAGTTACACAAAAAATGTAAGTTCAGAGAAAGATATTTTTTTTAGTAAGAACTAGCTATTATTTTTTGTCGCGGCTGAAGCTGGAAATTAGGGACCTTGATTTAAAAATAAAAACCCTACCAAAATCCGCTTAAACTCTTTTATTATTAAAATTACCACTAAACCCTAATCTAACACTGAAAAAAAAACCCCTAACAAAAGGCCCCAAAAATTTTTGAAAATTTCATATAAAATTTCCAGCATCAACCATTTCTAACATCAGCCGCGACATTTATTTAGCTGAATTCAAAACTATATATAACTATACATTTTATATTGGAGATGTCCAACATTTACATTCATCTGTTCCTGGTTTATTGCGACATTGTCGCGCAGCTACTTAGTATTATTTTTAAAAAAATTTTTTACTATAAAAAAAAAAAGCAGTGCGCCCGCGTCACTGATCACTGTTCCATGATATGAAAACCAAGTATTTAATTTTGTGCGGCCTTAATGATGTAGCTTTCAATATATCAGATATGAACACTCAACGAAAACGCATTAATAAGCAAAGGGTCGTAATTTATTTATAAAGCAAATTGATCAATACGAAGCAATTCGTAATACATCACATAAGTTACCAAGCATATCATTAAAAAACTATTGCTCAATTTTATCAGTATTGTATTCTAGAGGCACCCTCATTGACTGCCGTTTTTGATTTTCTAAATTAAGAACTTCTTGACCCTGATACTGCAATATATAGCTCGCGGTCCAAGATATCAAAAAACTTTCAGCACCGTTCAAAGTCACACGTGGCACATTGGAATTACTAATCGTATCTCTGAGAATTGTCCCGGCAGGAATTCGGATGGGATTTTCTTGGCCGTTTACAAAATATATTCTTGCAACGTTTTGGTCGATTCTTTCTATTCTTACAATGATATTATCATTAATAATGATAATGTTAATATTGTCGTTCTTGTATGAGAAGTTTCCCCTGAACATGGTAGGCAAGAGGTTGGAATCTATTGTTTTCATAATTTTTTTATATTATTTTTAAGTGTGAAATAGACAATTTGGATGAAAATACACGATTTTAAACAGGTCCAAAATTTGTTGATACCTATAACGTTCATATGTGAAAAATTATCACGTGGATCTATTTATCAATAAACAAACTACCTTTATCTGTCACTTACTGTTTCTCGTAAATAGAAGTTTACTGGTTTTTGAGTCCAAGAAATATCGGTTTGTCTGAGACAAGTGGGCTAAGAGAACTTTTTTTAACAACAAATGTGGATTTGAGATTACATGGAAGCCGAAATGGCTTAGTGAGTGTGTGGTAATTGCTCACATAAAAATACCGTAAATCGCCGGATACAAGATCCCCCATGATAGTAGACCCACCA